GCACATAGCAGGTGCTCAGTGAATGCTTGTTGAATAAGTTGTCTGTGCTTAACCTTTAAATGGACAATTTCTGTTGAGAATTTCAGTTTGGAAGAAAAAAAAATAAAGTCTTTTAAATAAGTTATACCAACTAGTTTCTTGGGGATTTACAATTATTTTGAATATGTTATAATTTGAATAAACTGATAAATTGACAGGATAATACTATATTATATTTTACCTATAATTTGTTTTAAAAAATCAATTAAGATTTATAATTGAGTTTTGGGGCCATTAGCACAATCCCCTTAAACTAATATTTAATCGCATTTTCTTAGATTTAGAAACTGATACTGAAAATTGAGATTCAAACTTAAGTCTTTATGACTCCCAAACTAGTAATCTTTTTAATTCTATACAATACTACTTATTAAAGTTTAGGTTTAATGCTTGGCCATCAGTGACTGGTAGAAATAATATTTTTTAAGCTTGCTATTTAAAATTTAACCATAATTATTTCACTGTTTGAAAAAGTATTAAATCTGCTTCAATAACTGTGATACTCTGGCTGAGGGGGTCAATACAAGGTAGCGTGGTGGGGAGAGAGGCTCTGTCTTCGTGTTATGATTAGTAAATAATTTTGAGTCTTCTGAGCCTATGGATCATATCGGAGTTACTTTAAGATTAATTCAGACTATCCATTGCTTGAATGAATTTTTTTCCCCTATGATTTGCAAGAATATGTTTACTACATGGTGGTCATGTATCATTGTAAATGGAATTAAAAATTACCTCTTTACATTGTTTTTCTCTATTGACATTACAAATAAAACAATAAAATCTATCCCCGTCATTTTTTAAAATTTCACTTCTGTTATTTGATGGCATTCTTTGTTACAATTAAATTATTGTTTTGTCATAATGGTGCTTTGGGATTCACAGTATCTTAAAAACTCAGGCAGTATAGCAGGAGACATTGGCTTTTGAAAGCTCTTATCTGTCTCTATTTGAGGGTTTTAGATGGTGTGGCCAAATTAAATGTCAAGTCTGTGGATCTGTTCAGTCTCGTAGGCAAGGACAGTCGTCCCGGTCAGTTACAGTGAGTAGCCGAGCAGGAGCCGCATTGTCTGGCCTGGGAACTCCACAGCTGTTAATCGTGCTGCTCTTGTGGTTTGTCACTGTCATGTGTTTTTTGATTGAAGAAAGGCTAGAGCATGATGCCCGCCACCAGAGTCTTTTAGTAATGATTAAAAACTACTGACCTCCTTTTATATTGGTTCATTAAAGTCTTTTTCTTATGACTGTAAAGTTGAGGAATATAACATGTTCTTGCTGAATAGGACACTACAGGGATCATTTGTGCAAAAATTGTACATTTTTTATGTGCACAATAAGTAAAATCGAATTTACTGTATGACTTTCTTTCATAGCTAGTCTTTTCAACTTATAAATACGTGTCTCTTCACTTTTTTCTTTTAATTTGAGCTGTCACTAAATTAATATTCCATTTTTATTGTGTTCTCAAAGATATATCACTTTAATACAATATTGGGTAGAATTATTTTAAAGGCAGAATATCTCAGCTAACTTAAACTGTGAGTTTTTTGCATCTTAGGTTTGCAAGAAGTTTAGGTTGGAGATTTGAAATAGTTGAACATTAATACTGCTCATTGATTAATGTGCTACCGTTGTTAGCAGCTCGCTAGCCAAAGTCTATCTTTTTTTTTAAACCTGAATGGTTCAAAGCACAGCTCTTGACAATGAGAGGGTTGTAGATGGACCTAAACCCTTTTTTTTTTTTTTTTACTTAACTTGATGAATTACCTATTAATTAACTCTTTTAACAGTTTAGAGCAGAGAATATAAATTTGTGGCTAGGATACAATAAAAAAGCAAAAGTCTAATAGTTTAAAAATTAATTTAAATGACTTCATTATTTTTGCTGTTTTTAAAGACTGATATCATAGCTTACATTTTAGAATATAGTAAAGGCTTATTAAATCATATGGAAAGTCATGTCTGAATTAGTAAAATGTTCAAATTGTAGAATAAGTTTACAGACTTCTGAGTTGAGTTAGAGGTCTTAATCTTTTGTAGCTAGAGAGGCTATTTTATAGTTATATTAAATGCTTACAGTGAACATTGGTATTTATTGGAATCTTTTGTTTAAGTCCATTAAATATTTCTCTTGTATGCAATTCACACCATTCTAACTTGCTTATTTTAGTTCAATAAATTCTTTTTTCAAGGTATTAAAGCCAATTTTAGCTAAGACAGTGTCTGAATTATATCAGTTTTCAAATTTTTTGAGTGTGAATTGGAGATTATTTCAATGTTTAATAGTTCCTGGGACACATTGTTTTATTTTGATTCCCTTCGCATGTAAGCATATTTCAGGACAGTGTGCCATGGTGGGGATTGCTGTCTGTTTACTTTTATACCACACTTTGTATGTATTTAAGTTTTTGAATCTGGCATTAGCTTTCAAAATAAACTTGAAGATAATAGTGAGTAGTTCTAGGAAATATAATGTGCTGATCATAGGCCAGTTAATACATGAAACTCAATTTCATAATTATTGGGGGAGGGTGTTAAACTTATAAAATGCATCATACATACAAAGAATGTGTACAAATATACATTCAGTTTAAAGCATAATATAAAGAAAAGTCTTTTACTGCTAGCACTCCTCCCTACCACCATCCCAGATTTAAAAAAGTAGAATGTTATTAAGACTGTAGAAGCTACTGTTCCTTTTTTTCCCAAACACTTCTTCCTCATCAGAGGTAACCACTACTTTGACTTTTACAGAAGTAACTTCATTGCTTTTTCTTATGGTTCTGAGAGCCACCTATGTATACTTAAACAATATATTGTTTAGTTTTGCAAAACTGGGTGGCAAGCACAAACCTATTGCCATTATTGGATGAAGGCTCTCAAAAGAAGGTGAGTTGAGAGAACAGCTGAAACATAGTCTGGCTTTGGCTTCCCAGAGTTTACATTAGCTCTTTCTGGGAAGTTAGTAGGCAGGATCATGAATGTGTTCTGAGTTAGGCGTGTCAAAGTCAAAACAACTGGCAGAGGTATAGGAGAGACCGAGTACTAGCTCTGTGGTCCAAAAAGGTTAGAGGCTGCTGTATGTTTTCTGCTTCTGAGTTCATCGTGACCCACCTCATAGCTCTCAGGGTAGGTCAAAGCAGAACAGTTCTAGGGGATAATGTGTATCCCCTGCTGATCCAGACAGCAGGGTATGGGGGGAGAATAAGGACATTTGCAGGTTATTCTCCATACATTCTGTTCTCAGAATAAAATGGCAGTGGGGTTCTTGGTGTTGACCATATGTCTATCTCATAAGTCTCCTTGCTCCAATCTCGGTTGGTTGTCTCCCACATTTGATGCACAGGCATCATTCTTGAATTCCTCCTAACTGTGCTCCTGGGAATTCCTTTGGCCTCTCTTATGTATTGGCCCTACTATTGCCTGTAAACCATGTTGTTGTCTTTCTTGGTTTATGTTCTTTGATGGTGTGTATATTTATATGTATATATATTTTTCCTTTATTGAAAAGGTAGCATATACTATATATACACCTTACTGCACTTTTTTCACTTAACATATCATAGCAATCTTTCCATATCAGAAGATAGGAAACTTCCTTATTTTTTTTAGCTCAGTGTTTTTAACCAGTCCCTTATTGATTATCCCTTATATGTTGTTTCTGGTATTTTTGCTTTTATAAACAATGCTATGATGAATAATATATGTATGTTATTTTGCATGTGTGTAAGTAGATCTGTATAAATACAGAAATGAGATTGCTGGATCAAATGATATATGCATTTGTAATTTTGATAGATATTACCAAGTTGTCCTCCATAGGCATGCAGCTTTCACTTCTATCAGCAACTTACTATAGCCTCACCAAAAAATTATTTTGTTAAACTTTCAAATTTTTCCCAATCTGATATGTAGACAAATGGTATCTCAAGGTAGTTTTAGTGTACATTCTCTCTTTTTGAATGAGGCTGCTATCTTTTCATCTCTTCTTATTCTTTGCCCATTTTTCTCCTGGATTTTGATCCTTTGCTGATTTATAAAGCTTTTTGTGTTCTAGGGAGAGAATACGTTTCCAAGTTTGTCATTTGTGCTTTGATTTTGCTTATAATATGGCAGTGGTTTTTATATAAATAAATTTTTAAACAAGTTTTGTTTCTGAACTTAATCCTTTTTTTTATGGCTTCTGGATATTGAGTCATAAACAGGCATTCTCACTCAAGGTTATAAAAAAATTTCCCCATGTTTTCTTCTAGTACTTTTATGATTCATTTTTAGATTTAAATCTTGATCTATTGATATTTATCCTGTTCCCAGGATATTTCCTTTTTTCCTCTTTGACTGTCCTACAGTTAGCCAAGCTGAATAGTATGCTTTTCCCACTAAATTGGTAGCACTCTAATTATTCTAGCTTTTCATTTGCGTTTATTTCCCAACTTCCCCTTGGTTCTGTTTTCTTATCTGTTTGAGTACTAGGATCATACTTTAAATTATGAAGGTTTTGATGCATTTTAAGAAGTCTAATAGGACCAGCTGTCTCTCACTTCACTTTCCCCCAGAGTTTTCATTGCTATTCTTGTTTATTTTTCCATGTCTAGTTTAGAGCTGATCTTCCCTTCAACCTTTCACATTCAAAAAAAAACCTCAAAAAACCCCAAACTATTGCTATTTTTACTGGAATTATGTTAAATGCATACATTTGAGGGGGAAGATTGGTATGTTTCTAATGTTAGGACCTATCCAAGAACATGATGTGTCTTTCCATTTGATCAAGTTTTCTTTTCTGTCTGTACCAGCAGTATTTTAAAGTTTTCCTCAGTTAGATCTTACACATTTCTTAGATTTATTCCTAGTAATTTTATCTTTTTAGCTGTTATTATAAATGGGGTGTTTACTTCCATATCTTCTAAGTGGTTTTTGTTTGTGTGTATGAAGGCTGTTGACTTCATTATATTTATATACCCCATAATAAATTCTCTTATTATTTGTAGTAGTTTTTCATTTCAGTTGGTTTTTTTGGCTTTTCCAAGTAAGAAGTCATATTGTCTGCAAGTAGTTTTATTTCCTTTATAATTTTTATACCTCTGAGATTTATTTTTCTATTAAATACATTGGCTAAAACTTTAATAAAATGGTAAATAATAGTAGTGAATGGGGATATCAAGGGATTTGATATATCATATTAAATCTAGTAATGTGATGGCTTATATTGATAGATTTCCTAATATCTCTGCATTTCTAGAATAAAAAAACCTTCTTAGTCATACTGTTCTATTCTTTTAATGTGCTGCTGTATTCTGTTGCTGATCGTTTATTTAGAAATTTTCATAAGTGATATTGGTGTGTGTTGTGTGCACTCTCTGTCAGCTTCTGGTAGCAATATTATGCTTCAAGAAAATAGTTTGCAGGTGTCCCTTTTCCAATGCCCTGGAACATAGGTTTAGTGGCATTCCTCTGTGAAATTGTTAGGGCCCAGACGTTTTTGTAAGGAGTACTATTTAACAGCGTTCTCCCCCTCACCCCCCATGAAAGCTGGGAGATTTTCTGGGATTAATTTCCTGGAAAATTATCTATTTTTTTTCTGAATTTTCAAATGTAATTACATGAGAGTTGAGCAAAGTGGCTGCTGATCACTTTAAATGTCTTTAATTTTGTTGGTTTCTCTTTTTTCTTAGATGTGATGTATCCTTTTCATCCGTATCTTGATTAAGATTAGCTAGGGGTTTTATTCATACCCCACCTACAGTATCAGCTTTTGATTCCTCTATTAATTCTCTTCAGTTTCTACTTTATTAACTCTTTCCTTCTACTTTTGCTCAGTTTTGAGATCCTTTTTCTAAATTTATAAGTTGGCTGCTTAATTGATTTGTTTTTATTCTTTTCAATTGATTTAAATTTTTAAGGCTGTGAATTTTCTTCCGAACAGTGGGAAGTATCCTGGATTCTGATGTAGTGTTTTTATTATTCTCTGGGAAGTCTGCAGTTTGGGTTTAGTTTCTCTTTGACATAATTTTTTAACAACAGAATTATGTATCATTTTCACACCAGAAAGTCCAAGTCAAACAGTGGTTTCACATATGAACTGGTGAATAAAACTTTACTTTTAAAAAAAATCTTTTGAAGGATAATCAACAAGCTTTCTCCTCACCCCACTGTTAAAATGTGAATTAGAGAAGATTAAATTCATCCACTAATTAGGGGCATAATTAGTGTTAAAGATAATTTATTAGCTTAAATAAGTCTTTGTTCTTAGAATATATAGTTTTATTTCATTCTGAAAGTTTTCTGTGAAGTTGTATCTTTCCTAAAATATACACAAGAGATGTGGAATTGTAAACCTTGTCATTTACTAAGAGCTGCTAAGACTTTAATATATGATCATTATTGACAACTAAATTCAAATAAAATGATAATTAAGATTTGGGGTATTCTTCTTGCTGCGGGCATTAAATGATGTTCTGGACTTTAGTCATATGTGTATATAAATAAAATAATCTACATGGAGGTCACAGTGACAGTTTAATAGCTTCTTGTATATTCAGATTTTCTTCATAGACAAGAAATTGTATATGGTCTATTTGTTGCTTTTTGTCCTGGTTCAGGAATGCATCATTTTAGGAGCAGAGTAGGGGAGAGGGAGGGAGCGAGGAGAGAGGAGAAGAGAAGGGAGGAGAAGGAGGACTTAGTCTAAAGCTGTAAGAACAATGAGCCTGGCTTCTTGCCTTTTGTAGACTGAGGACAAGTCTTTAAACCCAAGAGAGAACCTAAGCATAGGAACTTTGATCCTTATTTGGGGGAGAATTTGGCATTAGAGAATTGTTTACTCATGAAATTTTAGAACTGGAAGAAGGCACGTATTTAATTCTTTAAAACTTTCAATCAATTTATTTTACAGCCTAGGGAACTGAGATCCGGAGTACCTTGCTGTTTGAAAGTCCTCCTGTTGTTAAGAGGATGAGGCTTGAGTTAAGTGTTACTAAACCGACTCTATTCAAAGGAACACAAAATACCGCTTTGAAAGAATCCATTCTGTATCGATTCTTATTAAATTCTTATTAACTTTGTTTTATAGAGAATACAAGCTAGCATTCTAAAAGCATTCAACAACCCAACTACTAAAACAGCTGATGATGAAACTAGAAAAAAAGTCAAAGGTATGTTGAGTGTTTCACTGTTAGAACTTTCTTCTGCAAAAAGTGTTAAAAGTTTCTTTTCAGGGGAAAAAGAACTGAGCATTATGTGAACTTAATTCTCTAGAGTAGTGGCCGTAGAGGGAGGGTGTACTTAACTCCAATGGCTGCAAGATAGTCTAGTGGGTCATAGAAAGAAAACATTAGAATCTATGTGAATTTTTAACAGTAAAACTAAGGGAGACTCGAAGGGTTGTTGACAGTAGCAGCCTCATCTGGAAGTTCATTTTCGTCATAGTGTATCATCTTGAAGTTGACGTGTGCTTGGATAAGTGGATTTATGGATATTATCTAGCTTTAACTGGATAAAATGCTTAAGTGCTCCAAAGATGCCTGCAAAGAAGCCATTTATTGAAGAGAGTGCTAGTGAGTCAAGCTACGTGTCTACTTTACTCTTGGTGTTGACTCTTCATCAGCCAAAATATGAGGCAAAAGCCATGATTATCTAATCAAAGCTGGTCATTTATAATTATCAATATGTAATTGTGGGTTTACATCCTATGTTACTAGCGATTTACCTTGTCCTAAATGTATATTCTGCCTTGAGGTATTAACTAATGATAGTATGAAGTCATCATTTTTAGAAGACATTTAAATATAATATTTGTATTTTATTTTTTCTCTTTACTAACTTCTATTTTTTTGTAGTGTTATGTGTACATACTACATGTCTATAATTTATGAACAGTTATGCATCCATTGTGATTGTATCTGCCAAAACTTATGTACAGTTAAGTGTTCAAGATTTTAAAAAATGTAGATTCTCGACTCTCTGTTCTTTTGTTTTGAGATAGCGCCATCTAGTGCATACTTAGAATAACTGCCTGGGTTTTCTTTCACCTTTTTCCAGTTTTATCTTTTCTATTTTTAATTCCTTGTACGATTTTTCTTAATGAAACATCTTACTTTACCATAATTTATAAACATTTCTAATCACAATTAATAAATGTTTACTGATATATCCAGATGTAAGTCTGCCCTGTCATTCAGTGCTTCAAATAATGTTTTAAAATGATTGTATATGTTGTTTATATGAAATTTGAAGGTAGATACCCAAAAAAGATAGAAGTTTGAAGGAGGAGTGAGTAGGTTTGTTAATACATTTTTCCCCATGGTTTAATATGGAGAATTTCAAACTTCTATTAAAATAGAGAGAATCATACAATGAAGCCCCACGTACCCATTACCCCACCTAAACTACCTTCAGTTCATGCTGTATTATGTTTCGTCTGTCTCCTTCCAACCCTAGATTATTTTGAAGCAAATCATAGCCATAATTTCCTTTGATTTGTAAACATTTTCCAAACAGAGTAATTTTAACCTTTTTAATATAACTGAGCAGTTATATATGTAACTATTATTTATTGCCATGTTAATTCTTTACACTAGGCTATGTTTACTTGTCTTTTACTGCTCTGTTGTTTCCATAGTTATGGTCCTGACATCTGTAGCCCTTACAGCATAACCTCCTTTCCCATCCCTCTATCCACCTTTAGGTTGGGCCCAGGGGCTTTAAAGGGTTAATGGGAGCAGTCGACGTGTGGTATGAATAGTGGCTGTTGCTCAACTTCTTTTACCTCTTAAGTTTAAGAAGAGTTTGTTATTTCTTGGAGACTACTGTAGTTGATAGTCACATTTTCTCTGCAGCATTGTAAAGGAGAAAGACATTATAACATCAGATAGTAAAATGTATTAAACGTGGTACTGAACGTCTGCCTTGTTCAGATTTCTTTTGAATCAACAGAAAAAAAGCACGTTACATTGTTAGGTTGATGGTTGACATGTTCTTTTGCATTTAAAAGTGTTATTTTTACAGCATATGGAAGAGAAGGTGTGAAAATGAACTTCATAGATCAGATCTTTGTTGGTGAATTAACTAGCACGGTCATGTGTGAAGAATGTGCAAATGTAGGTAACGTTAGAATTCACTTTAACGTGGAATAGATTACAATCACATTGTTTTTGTTTCCTTTCACATATAATCATCAGCAACTTTTATTTTTGTGACTGATCACAACATAATAGTTTTTGAAAGTCTTTTGAAAATAGATCCTTCAATCCTAGGAAGTAAATTTTTAAGTAAATATGTTACTTTGTTTTTCCTTTCAACATACCCGTGAAGTTCTTTTAGCCTATTTTAATATGCTTGAATGTGTTAGCTATTTGTTTGGATAGAAACGAAAGAGAAACTTCTGTGAAGAGAGTAACTATATTATGTAACTATATATTGCCCTGAAATGTAATTCCAATAGAACTAACTTAATATAGTAACATAATGTATGGTGATCTACCACTTTTCATTTAAAGTTTACATTTATATGACTTGTTGAAGATTTTTTTTTTAAGTAGACAACTCATCTTTGAATTTAATGATAATTTTTATTTTGAATGCTATCTTTAATAACAACTTAAAGTATATATAAATTTTTCTAGGTTTTCAATTGCTTTGTAAGGAATATTTCTGAAAGTGTATGGCTTAGAGTATGATGGGTTTAAACTTGTGTCAGATTTTAATCTGTGTCCATTTTCCTGTGCCAGATTGTGGAGTACCTTTCTATCCTCTCTAGTCCTATAAAGTCAGGATTATATATTATATCTTCTTCTAGCCTGTCATATTGAAGCACAGAATGTGTCAACATGTATGACTTAAATTTCTAGTATATTCAGCATAGACGATTTCTGTCTCACAAGCTAGAGAGTATCTTTTAAAACAGAATTATCCTAAAGAATCCACAAAATACAGTCAAGCTCTCTGACTTTTTTCATGGCTTTTTCTTAACATATCATATTTTATTTAATTTATGACACTAATTTCACCAAAAATATTTATAAATGTTTGTCTTTAATCAATTGTATTAAACACAGTTTATTTTGAAGTTACTTTTAATATTACAGGTTAGTCATATTGACAATATTATAAAATTCAAGTGGGTTGCGTTTATTGACGTTTTGGGATATCTTGTTTGGATGAACAATATGTGCTGCTATATCCAATTAAATCACTTTTTGTTCAGAAACATCTTTTGACTTAAAGTTTTAAGTTGCCTGGGAAGTTTGGTTTCTTTGAGACTTTACAAAACTACATTGTCTATATTATAATTCTAACTGAAGTTCTCAATGTTTTTTTTTTTTAAGATCTCCATGGTGAAAGATCCTTTTATTGATATTTCACTTCCTATAATAGAAGAAAGGGTAAGGAGAAAAAAGCTTCATAATAAATCTTTTGTGAAGGGCATTTATTTATTCATATATTTAGATATTTGTTGAGCATATTGTCAGATACCTGAGAGTCATTATTTTATATATATATAATTGAGTTTGTACAGTGTATTTGATATTGTGTTTGTGTATATGTACATAAAGTATGATATAGTTCTTATTCTTAAGGAATTTAAACTCTTATGCTTTATATTTTGAGAATTAATGGTAAGGAAATTATCTCTATATATTTCAGATGAGATAGAAATTTTAAAAAGTAGATGATATCCAGAATTTATTTCCTAAAAAAGTTTTGTGTTATGTACATGGCATCCATATAGGTTTCAAAACCTGTACTTTTGGGAAGAGTGAGTAAATATAGAAGTTTACAGGAGACAGATAATGGTCAGTACAGTGGCACTTCTACTATAGAACATACTCATCATCCCAGAGCCAACAAGAAGCATCCTTCATCTAAAGAGAAGGTAAGATTATGTGCCTTTGTGAGCATCTGTTATTTTAAACTTTTTATTCAGAAAAATTTCAGAACTATATCAAAAGTAGAGAAGATGTTTAATAAACTCCTCTGTACCAATTTCTCAGCTTCATAATTAGCTCCTGGCTGATCATGTTTTATCTGTATCTATCCCACATTCTCCCTCTCCCCATCATGGATTATTTTGAAATAAATCCCAAACATATCATATACTTCACTGTGTATCTCTAAAAAGATAAATACTCTTTTTAAAGACATAACCACAGTACCATTATCATACCTAAAAATATTAATAACGTCTTAATAGCACCACCATCCAGTCATAATTTACATTTCTGCAGTTGTCTCATAAATATTTGGTTTTTGTTTTTGCTTTTTAAATTGTGTTTGAATTCAGGATCTAAAAAAGATCTATAGATTGCAGTTGATTGCCATGTCTCTTAAATCTTTTAATCTACAGATTCCCCCTCCCCCTTCTTTTTTCCTTTGCAATTTATTTGTTGAAGAAATTATTTTTTTTCAGCCATTTCTCAAATTGCCACATTCAATAGTAATTCATTTTGCTATTGCATCCACATGTTGTTAACAGGTGCCTCTGTCTGCTTTATTTTGTCTCTAAGTTAATTAGATCTAGAGGCCTAATTAGGTTTAAGTTTGATTATTTATTTAACTTTTGGCAAGAAACTTTTCAAGTAGTGGTGTATACTTCCATCAGGGAGGTGTGTGTCATATTGGGTCTCTCTCTTTCCGTGATGTTAGCAGCCATCAATGACCGTTGTCTAGACCCATTATTTCACTAGGGACATACATGGTTGTTGAATTATCCCATATAAATTTAGAGAAATCAATCTGAATTTGCACGTCATTTAAAAAAGCTTTTACATGACATGATGTATGCTAACATGGTAAATTGATATGGTATTAGATTTAACTTATTCTGTTAGAAGGTTCTTTAAGTGGCAAGACTACAGAGAATGTGTGGAGGTTCACACTTGAAAAGCCTCCCGCACAGCGCTGTTCCACAAAAGTCCTTTTACCGTCTCCACAAATCGGTAACCACTATTGTTGGTTTCTTGTGTAAAGGTTTACTTTTAAATTAGGACTATTCGCTAGTTATCTTCTGATGATTGTAGTTCAGTTAGATTTAGGAAATGGATTTCAGAGGTACTAGAAATATATTTGTTTAATAATTGTGGAACATTTAAATAGGACATTGGCATTTATTTTCAGTAAGGTCACGAGATTCTTTTCTCTGAAAACACTGTCAACTTACAGAATCAACTAATTCATGGCAGAAAACATATAAGAAAATTGTCATCTGGAGAAGATAAAGCTGTTGACATCCACTGGAAAAATGAAAACCTTGAAATGGATGGGGATTCTTCAGTGCTGGCAAGCATCGCAAATACTGAATCAACTCTGACTGGAAGCCCTACCGATGGCAGTGAAAAGGAAGCCAGCCATTCTGAAAGTAGTGTTGATGCTGACAGTGAAGCTTCAGAATCTGAAAGTGCTACTAAGCAGACTGTGTTGTTGAGATCCACTGGTGGATACACGGTGCACGCAATGGGACACCTTCACCATGTGTCCACAAGTGAACCACCCACCAGGGAGACTGACAGGGGTCATGAGGGAGTGGCGGAAGCTATGGCTGAACTTCGTTTGAGCAGCACTGTAACTGGCGATAGAGATTTTGAAAAGGAAAATCAGCCACTAAATGTTTCAAATAATTTATGTTTTTCAGAGGGGAAGCATATGGTGTCTCACAGCCCCCAAAATGCTTTTCAGACCCTCTCTCAGAGTTATATAACTACTTCTAAAGAATGTTCAGTTCAGTCCTGTCTCTACCAGTTTACGTCTATGGAATTACTAATGGGAAATAATAAGCTTCTATGTGAGAATTGCACTCTCACAAAGAAACAGAAGTATCAAAAGGAAAGCAGTTCTGCAGGTAAATATTAGCTTAATTTTTTTTCTTTTTTTTTAGTTTTCAATATTCAAGGATTATCTAATAGTCAGTGACTAGTGCATTATAGATCCCAAGTAGAGGAACCTAAGAACCTTGTCTCCATGCTTGAGCTGTTTGGAGTTACAGATTGTCTCATTCATATTTGTACCTCAGCACTGAAGACACTGACTGGACAGAGTAAATTTTCAATAGATTTTTGCTGAAATAAATTGAATAACAGGAAGTATCCATCTCTGCCTTGAAAATGCAAATCCACATAATCTTATTTCAGGGGACTAACTCTCTGAGATCTTTTCAGAAGAAATTTCCCCAAAACTTAACAGTGGTATCAACTAGTGATATTAATGATGAAATTAATGTGCTTACAAATCTCACCAATTTAGTGTAAAGTCATATCATAAGTTATAAGTTTGAAGATTTTAAATAATTCTTTGCTGTAAAGCTAATATAGTAACTATATTTAGTTGACCAGAGAAAAGTGGAAAAAAGAGGGTTTGTCAAGTAAGAAATTTTCAGTGGACCACTAGTCTTGATTAAATCAAGAGAATACTCTGATTCTTAGTGCCTGATTGTTTCAAAATGTAGATTTTATTATTATTCAGGTATGGTGAGGCCAACAGATCAGGAGACAACTGCCACTGAAAAGATACTTTGTTACTCACAGTTCCTAGGAGGAGGGGGCCACTAAGCAATGCCATGCAGGGCCACATGGGGAAGCACCAGGATTGGTCAAGAGGCAGAGGGAGCTGCAGGGGCGGGGGGCGGGGGGGCGGGGGGGAGAACGTGGGCAAGAGCCTTTACTGTGGTTTCCAAGGGAAGGAATGGTCAAGGCAGGGTAAACAGGTTTAGGATTGACTAGTTTCGAATAATTTCAGTGGGCTCTGGGGTATAGGGGCAGTCTCTAGTTGTCTGGTACCTGGCCCGGGTGTGGTTAGGGCAGGTGGATAGTGGCCTAGAGTATAAGAGCCCAAGAAAGGAGGTGGCTGGGGTATGGGCTTTGAATTGGTTGGTTTGCATATGAAAGGCACACTTAAGTTGTTTACTGTCTCGGAATTAGCTAGCCCTGGGAGAGGCTGGCCCTCCAGTGTTAGCAGAGCCCCAGATGTCAAAGCATCAGACTAAAGACATGCTTAATACACTAGTAATTAAAGAAATGTCTAGATGGGAGAAGAAAGAAATACCAACTTACGTTAATCTAAGTTAAATATGCAATTGGCCATATTCAAATCCTATCACAAGTCCTTTGTAACAACTTTTTATTGAAATGCCCCATTATTTTCATAATATGTGATCTCCTTTCACTGCAGTGAGTAATGACCCAATTTTTTCAACTACAAGTATGTTTCTGGTGGTCTTTGACTGGAGGGCATTGACATAAGTCACTACTAGTCCATCTGCTTTCCAGCTTCCAAAATTTACTTGCAAGTGTCACCTCCCCTGTTTTCTGTCCTTCTAAATGTGTGCCTTTTTTAAAAATCCCTTTCATTTCAGTGGGCTTTTGGAAAGGAGTAGAGGCACCCTGTAACCAGAAATCTGATTTCTTTAACTTTTCAAAAATGTGGTATGACACTTTTATGTAAATGTTTACTATATTTTATGGTAGATAATGTATAAAATGGAATTTTACAAGTAAATGTATTTTGTATTTTATGCAGAAAAGAAAGCAGAAGGGGTTTATACAAATGCCAGGAAGCAGTTGCTCATTTCTGCTGTTCCAGCTATCCTAATTCTCCACCTTAAAAGATTCCACCAGGTGAAAGTCCCTGTTGTAGCACTGTAGTAATTTTCATCATAGGTTTTACAGAGCCCTAGATCTTGTAAAATTCTGTCAAGGATTAGATAGTAATTTATTGAATTTAAAAATTTATTATTTACTGCCTTTTCAGCTGTAACAGTTTACAAGACTTTTCTAATTAAATTGTCTAATTCACAATATTTGAAGATTAAGGTGGAAGGAACCCACGTAGGGTGTGTGTGTGTCTGTGTATATGAATGGAAAATAAGACTTATTAAGAATCCTTATTTAGAAGCAGGGAAAGAGCAAAGTACACATAGCTTTCTGAGCTCTCAGGATCCTGATGAGAGGAGTGCATGGGCTGGGCATGGTTGGCTAGGATTAAATGCAGAAAGGGTTGCAAAGCAGGCCCCACCCCTATAGGACTCTACAATGGGAGGGAACCTAAATATTTTTAATGTGACAGGTTTTTCTACAATTATTTATAGGTTTTGTTTTTTTTAAGGTATGCTTTTTGGTGAGGAAGATTGGCCCTGAGCTAACATCTGTTGCCAGTCTTCCTCTTTATCTTTCTCCCTAAAGCCCCAGTAGATAGCTGTATATCCTAATTGTAGGTAATTCTAGTTCTTCTATGTGGGATGCTGCCACAGCATGACTTGATAAGTGCTGTGTAGGTCCCTGCCCAAAATCCAAACCAGTGAACCCTGGGCCACCAAAGTGGAGCACCTGGGCTTAACCACTATGCCACCAGGCTGGCCCCATATTTATAGTTTTCTTTTTCTTTCTTTCTTTCTTTTTTTTTTTTTTGAGGAAGATTAGCCCTGAGCTAACATCTGCTGCCAATTATCCTCTTTTTGCTGAGGAAGACTGGCTCTGAGCTAACATCTATGCCCATCTTCCTCTATTTTATGTGGGACCTCTGCCACAGCAGCTTGACAAGTGGTATGTAGGTCTGCAGCTGGGATCTGAACCAGTGAACCCTGGGCTGCCGAAGTGAAACATGCAAACTTAACCGCTGTACCACTGGGCTAGACCCCTCCATATTTATAGTTTTAATCCAATGCCTTATCTCATCTTTTTCTTTTCTTCCCCAAAGCCCCAGCACATAGTTGTATATCCTAGTTGTAAGTCATTCTAGTTCTTCTATATGGGATGCCACCACAGCATGGCTTGATGAGCAGTGTGTAGGTCCACACCCAGCATCCGAACCGACGAACCCCAGGCTGCTGAAGCAGAGTGTGTGAACTTAACTACTGGGCAATAGGGCTGGCCCCTCCATTTTTTTTTTTTTTTTTTGCATTTGATAAAATGATTTTAAAGTTTCTCTTGGAATAATGAATAAGTGAAAATATCAAAACATTTTTGAAAAAGAAGTGGTGATTTTTTGATACCAGTTTTAAACTAAAACTATAATAATTAAAACAGTATGGTCAGAATTGTTTATAAATAAAATAGCGTAATTTAAAGCTCTTTATGGTAAAGGAAGAATCTCAAATCAGTTGGGAAGGGAGCTGGATTATTCAGTAAAGGACTTAGAAAAAATAGCTGTTTGAGGAAATAAAAATTTAGAGCTTCCCTTTATACTATGTATCAATACTATTTTCAGATAATTTTTTTAATTGTCTGAAACATTATCAAAAGACCAGAAGAAGACTTCAATGAATGTTAACCTGACCTCTGTGTGGAAAGTTTTCTAAATATAAAACCCGTGAAAGAAATCTTAAGGGAAGATTGAGAGCTTTGGTTATATATCTGCAATATTTCATGTGGGCCACAGATAGGCAGGAAGAGATTTTTCTCTACACCCCCATCCCTGTCCACAGAAAGATTAGATTAAGTTCTTGAGTTTCTATCACCACGGTTATAGAAACTCGGGAATGAAAAGGGCACGGAGAGTAGAAGCAGATGTATCCTGTCTCATTACATCAGAATGTCTAATGGAAGCTGTATGCCTGCAGTGACTCTGTGTGAACAAGATAGGGTCACGCCAGATCTGAGAAACTAATTCCATGATGTACCACAGTTATTTTGTATTTGGTACTTGCATCCCTATTTAGGAACAACTTACAGGAAGAATGAATGCCCTTAAAGGGAAATATTTACAGACATTTTGATCCCGTCTTGCTCTCAAGCTAATGTAATGTCAGCAAAGCCACATTCTCATTCCCAGGGACTTGGAATTATAGGGAGCAGAGTCTCTAAGCAATGTCTCTACTTCTAGTTTTTTAGTGTCCCTTATTTCTCTATAGTAACTTTGGAGCTGTATATCAGAAACATCTACAACACTGAAAAGCAAATCTCAAACAGGCTAGAGATCTTTGTCATGAGTACAGTAAATGATTAATATCCTAAATATGTAAAGAGCTCTCAAAGATCAATAATAAAAATATCAAGACCCTAATAGTAAAATCGTAAAGAACATGCATTGACAATTCATAGAAGAAGTAAAAATTCCAAGAAAGTATGAAAAAAAGTCCATCCTTTCCAGCAAAACAAATGCAAAATAAAATGACAGTGAGATTCCTTTTCTAACCTGTCCAAATTGGCAGAGATCCGGTAGTGTTGATAAGGATGAAATGAAATATAGGCATTCTCATGTGCCAGCAGTGGGAGTGTAAGTTGGTAACGCCTAGGAAGTAATTTAATAATATATATCAAGAACATTAAGTGATGTTTTGAATAAAACATTTTTGAAGACAAGTAATTCCTTTTGGCTAATTCCACTTCTAAGAACCTATTGCAAGGAAATAGAGATATACACAAAAATGTGTATCCCAGTCATTGTAGATTACGTCAGATGTGAGGCCTAGTGTAAGTGTCCAATGTGCCGGACATCAGATTTATATTTTAATGACATGGGGAAAATACTTAGGATATATCATTCAGTTAAAAGAAAAAGAAAAAAAGTCAGGAGACTGCACATGACCAAATATAAGGCAAGATATTTTCCAAAAATGATCGCCTAGAAAAAGAGATTCATCTTAAATTAAAGCCCATTATGAAGTCTCTACTGTTATGGCATAATTTCTCAACAGCAAAGTCCTGTTTGGGGAGAACGCATTGGCCTGAAATGACCTCACACAGTGCTGATGCTGGATGCTTATAGAGAAAAAAGGAGGCAGACTAATCAAATACAGATCAAATAACTATTCCAGGGAGATGACCATATCATTTCATGTCAGATAGCCTTCTAAAGATCACTTGGAAAAACAAATCAGTGGTTGGGTATATTTTGGTCAAAAAATAAGGTTTTTTTCTTTAAAGAAAGATAAGAAATAGGCAACAGATCTACAGTAAAATTATGTGATTGGTAAGCAAATGAAAAGACTAGTCATTGAAGTAAGTCATGAAAGCCTCGCATGAAAGGTTGTATCTATTCGTTTTTGTATAGCGAACAGTTCAGATTTAAGTATCTTCTCATTCCAATAGAGTCCTTTTCTGTTTGTGGGTTTCCTATCCAATAACTTTATAGTCTGTCAGCTAGTTTTTATTATCATTACGTAGTGCAAAGTGTACATTTTTCAAGGTCTGCCTTTGGAAATTAAAAATAGAGAAAGAAGTAGAGCTTATTTAGAAGCATACTAAAACATGAGGTTTCATTTTGATTTATAATACATAGCATTTACTTTTATTGATAAAATGATTTGAGTGTTCAGGCTTTTTTCTTTTTAATGAATGAATATCATTGAATTTTAGAACTGAAAAGGACCTAATCTAATTCATGCAGCCCACTTTCTGCCTTGATCTAGATGAGTTTGCCTCGAGTTAACTGTTACTCAGTCATTGAGTCAGGCCTAGAACACCAGGTTCCTGACTCTTTAGTTGAATCTATTTTCATGATAATATGTGTGTCAGTAGCTTAGCTTTTATCACATTGACTTTATTTTTACCTAACTGTTGAAAAGCCACAGTGAAGGTGATTATTATCATATTGTTTGTGGTAAAAATGCCTGTGTAAATGAATGATCTTTGAAATAATAGTTTATGAAACCTAATTAAAAACTTAGTCATATATCAGTTTTGGACTATTCATTAGTCATGTTTTGATATCTATGAAAAAATTAACTTTTAGGATTCCTCTCTTGGTTTTAACTGACAAACATGATTTAAATTAATTGTTGCATTGAAAAATTTTGTTTTGGTCTTTTTAAGGCTGGCTTGAGTCTTCGCAAAGTAAACAGACATGTAGATTTTCCACTGATGCTTGATTTAGCACCATTCTGTTCTGCCACTTGTAAGGTACAGTATATTATTAAGATATTTGACCTGCAAATAATATGCTTAAAAGTATCCTGTGTATTGTTTATTAGGCCATGCTTTTCTTTCTTTAAATAAGCTTCTCTTCTGAAAGGGAATTTTATAGTTAGTGAAGTTAAATCAGTAACGTGGAACATTTGACACACTGAATATGACTTTTGTCCTTTGGGAGACAGAGTAAAGAAAAGTTGAACAGATGTGTAAAGTATGAGGCATGGTGGTCATCAGAGCTGCTTGTAAATGCTACTAGAAGCAGATAGTTGCTGAGAGAGGTAAGCAGATTTTGTGCCCTCTCCTGTTCCTTGTAAATGATGTTCCTAATTAGCAGTAGTTTTAGCATTTATAGAGTTATTTATCTTTTGCAAATCAATATGCTAGTGCATTGTTTTTCTTGCCATTTCCTGTACACTACTGAGAACAGTGCATTTGTCAGCTGAGGATGATACTTTAAAATTGCTAATACTTTCATAATTAGGTATAGAAAGCAGACTGGTTTATAATTGCTTATACTTACATGTAAGAACTGTGTGGGTGAAATCAATGACCTTGTCCTTCTTGAGAGAACCAAACAGTTATGGGATAACATATTGTCCTGTTCATGATTCCTTGTTAGCAGTCTGGGTTTTGTGGTATTAATAGAATGCTTATTGAACTTAATATTTTCAATCCATTGATCAGTCAAAACAAAAATATCTTAAATCCAGGGCTGACCCTGTGGCCTGGTGGTTAGATTACTGTGCTCCACTTTGGCATCCTAATTTGGGACCCAGGGCCTGGACCTTCACCACTGGTTGGTGGCCATGCTGTGGTGGCAACCCACATACAAAATAGAGGAAGACTGGCACAGATGGTAGCTCAGGGCGAATCTTCCTCAAGCAGAAAGAGGAAGATTGGCAACAGATATTAGCTCAGAGTGGATCTGCCTCAGAAAAAAAAAAACCCAGAAAAACTTAAATGCAATTTGTCAGTGAATCCAGTTCATCTGCTGTGGAATACCAGCAATATCTGTCAATTGTTAATACTCAGTATTCATATAATTTGATATTGTGGTAAACAAAATGTAATTTAACAAGCTCTGTATTAAATTTATGAAAACATATTTTTTAAATTATGTATTATGGAGAATTTCCAACATACACAAAAGTAGACCAGTGCAATGATACCCTTCACCCATCACCTAGCCCTAAAACCTTAGATACATGGCCAGTTCTGCGCCATCCACATGCTCATCTACTTCCTCCTCCCATATTACTTTGAAACAAATATCGGACATAATTTCATTCATAAATATTTCTCTGTGAATCTCTAAAAGATAAGAAGCGCTCCCCTCCTTTTTTTTAATATAACCACAATACCACTTTCACACTAAAAAAATTAAGAATTCTTTCATATCATCTAGTTTATGTATTTCCAATTGTCTCATAAATGAAGTTTTTAAAATGAATTAATATCCAAGTAAGGGCTATACATTATGATTGGACAATGTCTCCTTTAATATATGGTTCCCCTCTCCCATCTCTCCCCCTTTGCAGTTTATTTGTTGAAGAAACTGGGTCATCTTTCTGGTAGTTTCCCATAGTTTAGATTTTGGTGATTTTTCCTCTATCCTGTTTATTTCCTACAAATAGGTAGTTGGATCTAGAGAGGCTTGAAGAGATTGAGGTTTGGTATTCCTTTTTTTTTTTCTCCTGGTAAGGCTGTTTCATAGGGACTGTTCTGTTCTTTCATCAGGTGCCATATAATGCCAATTATCTTTTTGTGATATTAGCCACCAGTGGTACTCAATGCGAGATCTGTGAGTTCATTAAGAATTACAGGGTAATGATATTCTATCCCTGTCATTCCTTCTTCATTTTTTAGCTAGAATATTTCTACATAAAGAGAAATTCCTTTCATCTATTTAGTTATCTTATGGTATATAGTTCTTATAGAAAAGGTGGAATAAATGCTCTATGCTTTCCCTGCCTCCCTTTTAAACCAGTTTTAAGAATAATGAATTAATTCACTAGCATCCTCAAACTCTGATCAATTAATTTATCATTATGAATTCATGGATTTAAACACATTAGATATGTTTCAATTTATTACACTTTTCTTTTTATTCATGCTCTTAATATATCAGTCTAATGGGTCCATAGTTGGCAATTGAAAGCCTTGTCAGTTGGGCTCCTGGGTTAAATTTTAAATGTAAATTTTTAAAATTTTGTTTAACACTTACATTTGAGTTTGGAACTACATATTTTATGTATCAAATGTACAATACAAGATAAATTCAGACAAGTGTAGCTTTTCTCCATATCCATTCTGTTTTTCTCTCTCCTTCTAAATAACCTTTTAAAAAAACTGGTTTCTTCTGTTATTTTTTAAAATATAAGCAGACAGGTATGTATATATACATCTCCCCTCTTAAATAATCATAGCTTCCAATGCCTACCCTTTTTTCTATCTTATTCTTAACATTATATCCTGGAGATTATTTCATAGCAGTATTTAGAAGCTCTCCATTTTTCAAGCAGTATAATACTCTGTTATATGGATGTTTCAGAGTTTATTCAACCAGTCCCCAGTTTATGAACATTTGGGTCTATTCCAGTTTTTTGATATTATAAATAATTCTACAATTAGTACTGTGTGGTGCATGTCTTTTTACATTTTGTTCATATACCTGTGAGATAGACTCCTAGAAACAGGATTGATAAATCTAAGGGTAATACATATATGACTTAGCTAGATAACATGAGATATCCCTCCACAGGGGCTACGCCCCTTTGCATTCCCACATGCAATGTATATGAGTACTCTTTTCCCCACAGCTCAGCCAAGAGAACACTGTCAAGCTTTTGCATTTTCCCAGTCCAATACATTGGAAGAGTATCTCAGTGTAGTTTGAATATGCATTTCTGTTATTTTAAGCAGGATGTACATTTGACTTAATTTTCCTTACAATAGTATTTCACTCAATATTGCTAATTTGGGTTTTTTCTTTGTCTCAAAGAATGTAAATGTGGGAGATAAAGTTCTCTATGGTCTCTATGGTGTAGTGGAACATAGCGGCTCGATGAGAGGAGGCCACTACACCGCTTACGTGAAAGTGAGGACACCCTCCAGGAGATTATTGGAACATATCACTGGGAAGAGAAATGTACCTGGTATGCCATCCTAATTTTGTTTTATTTTTAAAAACGAATTTATTCTTCCTTTTCTGGAAGAGGTAAATTATTTCATGGATACCTCAAGTGGATTCACTTGTTGATGTCAAGTGAGAAATACCTTTAAGAGTACTTAGGTCATCTCAGAGAATCTTAAATATCATAAGACTGTCCCTTCTAGGTGATGTGAAGTGACACACAGTTTTTCAAGATATTAAGTCCTTGTTTATTGCAGTGGAGTAGCATTTTATTTACCAATACCAAAAGTTTTTGAAGATATACCAGGTCCTCAGAATAGACTTGGAGTTGAAAATTTGCTGACTTTGCTTATAGACTAGCAAACTAACTTTATTTTTTCCTTTTCTTTTAGTGAAAATGATTCTTTTCCTTGAACAAATATTTACAAGGCTATCTAATTTTTCACTAGATATTTAAAGTAAAATGATACTAGTACTAATGCTTTGAAAGATTAGTTCATTTAGGTAGGTGTTTAACCCAAGAAGAAACAGACTTATACAATAACATCTGGCACTAGATAAATATAGTTTGTGATGAATATGTTGTTTAAGAACATACTTATAAAATTTTACTTCTTTCTGTTTTGTTAGGTTTGAAAGAACCTGATAGTGAGTCGGCAGGCCAGTGGGTCCATGTTAGTGATACTTATGTGCAGGTGGTTCCAGAATCAAGAGCACTTAGTGCACAAGCGTACCTTCTTTTTTATGAAAGAATATTATAATGATTTGTTAATTATTCATGGTAATGATTATTTAGATCACTTTTATTTAAATGCTGCAGTGGTAACCATAATATGCAATGTGCCTTCGTAGTCTTTTCTCTTCTGTAGGAATAGCATGTCCCTCAAATGCTCCTGAACATTTTTACCATTTTGGTAAATGCTTTTAAAGTAAATTAAATTTACTGAGTGCTTTCAAATGTATATTCTTAAACTAAATGTAAACACATGTTTTTAAAAAATTATTTATCCCTGGAAAAACTAGAATTTACAGCAGTAGAGGAAATTCTTTTATGATGTGGCTTATTATTACAAGCATTCAGAAATGATGCTGACTAAATCAAATGGTTCCTTAAAACAGTGTTTCCCAAACGTGAGTCACATACCACCTTTCTGATCTCATATACATGTATGTATACCTCCTGTGCCATTGTTTACTTATTGTTTTTAACCTTATTTTTTAGCCTTATTTTTTTAACCATAGGCTTGTTTTGAGTATATTCCACATTTTATCTGCTAGTTATATTTTTTCTAATAAATATATAAGTATTAAAAATAAATTGTTCATCTATGTAGCACTCCACTTAAAAAATCATCTCAGGGCTATCCAGTGGTAGACGTGCACTGCTGTGTGGGAAACATTGCTATAACATGTATTTACACAATTGGCATAGTGACCTTGTCTTGTTTTGTATGATTCAACCATATAAAAAGACACCACTGTAACTTCAGTAATACAGGTTTACAAATATTATATTGATTAGCTTATTGCTTTGAGGTTTTGAGAACTAGAAAAATATTGAAATACTTCATCAACATATTATTTACAGCCTATTCTTGGTGGAGTTGAGGATAATTTGCAAATGATTAGCCAAGGTCAAAATATAGTGATAGAGAATTGTAACATGCAGAATTGGTAAGTAGAAGTTGTTCATCCCTATGGGACCATAGGGTATTTTGAGATATAAATTACCAAATTATATTTGTAAATGTTATAGAATTATATTCTAATTATACTTAACAGGGAAAGATAATACATTTTCTAGTTCAGTAGGTCAGTAAATGTTAATCATGTTTTCGGGGTTTTGAGATCACTTTTTCTTTGTCTTCATCAAGCAGTATTAATAAGTTCAAGTGAGTTTAGATTTTATTTTAGGGGCATAAAGTTGGCATTTCTGATTTTCTTTTTAAAGAATTAAATACTAGCAAAAATATGATATCTTTTACTGCTAGAATACAAATTATTAAGCTGCCAAAACTTGGCATGAAAATATTACTACTACTTAGGCTTAAATTTAAAAAAAATAATGGCTACTTCAGTGTCACATTATTGAATCAAAACATGTAACTGCAAGGTTCAAGCATCCTAATCATTAGTTCCAACTAAAGACACTAAAGGCAGATACTGGCTACGTGCCTAGTCCCAGTTCATTCTCTGGGGAAGGAAGGGTAAGAAGCGTGGCTGAAGACAATGTGTGGAAATATTTAACCTTCTTAACACACATGTATATACAACATTTTCAAGGTTACCAGTGCTGCCTTTTGATATGTGAATAAATGGAATTGTGATGAGTGTTAAAAAAGGTAATAACATACAAAATGCAGAGCTTAAAAATATCATTGCACAAATTCTGTTTTTAAGCTGTTGAAATTTCAATAGTAGTATTTTTCTTGATTTTTAACAGTGAAATGATGGAGACACATATCTGTGTAAGTTAATCTGCAAACTCAGGTTTTGTCCTGTGAAAGGTAATTTAAAGTGTTTAATTGTAATCTATTAACACTGAAATTTTCAGTACCAGAGCAGTGAATCTTTTTGAAAAATACTAGTTAAATCTCTTTATTCAAGTCAGACTTCTTGGTAATGACAATTACCGTCCCCTCTCACAACTGTAAATATTACGTCACCTCATTTCTCTCCTAGATAAGATACTATTAAAAGGCATGCACTTTTCACTGGATGGTCACCTGCTTCTTGTTTCATTGATAGATAGATGAAAGAAAGAAAGAGAGAAAGAGAAAGAGGGAAGGGAAGAAAAAAGGAAGGGAAAGAAACAAGAGTATTCTTTTCTGTTGCCTCTTGGCTTATGCTTTACACAGTTATAGTCAGAGACGGCGAGTGATAGTGAGGGCAAGAATCAAGGAAAGTGCCTAGGTCCTCTTTTCACTGATCAGATGCCAGGAAAGGCACCAGTGCTATAGTTATCAAATAGGACATCTTTTAAGCTTTATTCTGAGTACCAGTTAAGAGTGATTTTTTGTTGAGTGAGTGACACATTGTAGCTCCAGATCATTACCTCAGTGCTCAAGGACTGCAGTAGTTTTTATGCTCAACTTCACATTTTCTCATTAAGTCTATATTTATTGAATACCTGCTAAGGGTCAGGCACTATGCTGACATTATTTTAACATGTTTTAAAATGGAGAGGCCTATATAAGTTTTAGACATTATACCAGAAGTAACATGCAAATAAGATACTTTTATTTTCATTTCCACAATGTTAAATGAGCTAATTCTGAAATCTGGTTTTTTTTATGGCCTAGAGTTTATGAATGCTTTTCCATGTCTTCTGGTAATGGAATAAATTTGATTTTTTGGATGCCTAAGAGTTTCCTAAGATAGCTTTCTCTATTACAATAGAGAAAGCATGTTAAGTTACACATGGTCTGCATTTAAATTTTTGTTTTTGACTATTTCCAAAGCACATTTGCAGGGGTACTAAATTGTGAAGCTACTGTAATAACAGTAGTTTCCAGATGACCTCAGGAAACAGGATGAACAGATGAGAATGTTTACAGATCCTCAAAACAACTACATAGTGTTTAGCCAAATGAATTTAAGAAGTAAAACAGAGAAGTTTCTCTAGCTTTATTTAGAAACTGGTTTACAGGGTATGTCTAACCCCAGTTTCCTAGTTTTTCCATATTTAAAATGGTAAAATTTTATTATGTGCCAATTATGTGAATATTTTTGACATATCCAATGTATGTCTATGTTTAAGATTTTGTCATTTAATGTCTTTAAAACTGATGTGAATACCACCTTTTTGGGAGGCCAAGGAGAATGGTTCTTGCTGTCAGTTCTAAGAGCAGTTGATACTTGTTTTCTTGTTTTAAATGTGCCAACAGAACTATTTTACTATAATATATTTAAAAGCTCTTAGCTTGCATGTGTGATGATTTTAGCCAGTGATTTTATACAATAACTGAAAAAATTTTCTCAAAATTAAGCTGTGAAATGTTTCAACTTCATATAATTTTTGTAGTACAAAAGAATATCCTGCCTACTCTTCTTAAATTCATATTCATAATTTATTTGCATGTTAGCTGATCAAATAAGCCTAAACCAAATATGTTATGTGCAATAAAATAAAGCCTTTATATATATCTAGAATATTAAGAAAGACTATTTTTAGATATTTAAAATGTTTTGGTCCATGTAGAAATCATCAAATCTGTTTAAAAGATAGATGACTATATTTTTAATTTTGAGTAACATTGGTTATCATTCCTACTGTTTTATCTTTACTTTTTATTGCAGTGTTTTTAGAAAATAGCTATGTAACTTATTGAGCATTATTTTGATATTACTGTATAAACATGCATAATAAATATTAAATTCTTATTTATGTTTCAGCACTGGTCCTGGAGTTTTTGCAATGCACATTATTAACAGAATATTTCATCTATCAACAGTGTATTTGTTTACTTAGCTATATTCAAAATATCCTTCATATTTTAGAAATTCATTATTTCAGAACAAAAATCTTATTATGGGCCACTTTCACTCAGATTTCAGTATCTACGAAGGATGTGTCTTCATCCTTTCAGATGTGTCTCAAAATGTTCTAGTTATTTAGGCAGGATAATTTATTAGGAAATATTTTGTTTACCTGTTTGTTTCTATTTACCCTCTTTTGGATCATGAAGCTCCTTGAGGTTATGATTAAAGTTATAGACCATGTTTCATTTGTTCAATAATGTGATAAGTATTTATTGAATACCTGCTGTGTAGGTAGGTAAGCATTGGGGATACAGCACTGAAGACAGAAATCTCTTTAAGAAGTGAGGAAATAGACATTCTAAGAAGTGAAGAGTAAGGAAAAGATGTATCAAATGGTAAATGATATGGAGAGAAATCAAGGAACATAACCCACAGAGCCATATAGGAATTAAGGTCCGGGGATGAGGGATGTTCTAGGGATAAAAGGTGTCATGATATTAATCCCGATAGTCCCAAAGGGAAGCTATGAGTGTTGGGGAAAGAGGAAAGTTTTAATTCTGGGGCCCTCTCTTCAACCTGCTAATGGCAATATAGAGGCTGGGAAGGGAAATCTTGACATTTGTATCTTCTCAGAAAAATATATGCCCCAGATTTTTGTATGTAAGTTCAGAGGTTCATGGACCCCCAAAGCCATTTTCACACCTTTTTAAAATTGCACTCAAGCAGAAATATCCAAAATGTGTGTATTCCCATATGTATTAGAATAGGCTGGGTCTTTCTGCAGTAACAAATAACTCCACATCCCAATGACTTAACAGTTTATTTCTTGCTCACCCAGAGTCCACTGTGAGTCCGGGTAGTCTGCAGAGGCAACTGTTTTCCAACTGGTGACTTTGTAATCCAGGCTGATTGTCTTGTGGCTCTATCATTTCAACACCAGGCCTCCTCACTGTGGCAGAGGAAGAGAGCAATAAAAGGTCTGCACCAACAATTAAATTCTTCATCTTGGATGTGTCACCCATGACCCATTGGCCAAAAGTAGTCATCTGGCCCTGCCTACTTGCAGTGAGGGATGGGTAGGATGGATAGGAAAGAGTAAGTGTCCCATGGGCTCAGAAGAAAAAAGAGAATGAGATATGTGAGTGCACTAGAAATTTCTCACAATCTACCCTCGGGTCAGCAAATACTCGGCTCTCTCTCTCTTCTACACATGGAACATAGTGACTCCCTTTTCAAGGGATTCGGCTCCAAAGTCCCATCCAGGCAAAGTTTTATTCTTTAAGACCAGGCTCTTTGGAAGTGCTATGTCAGGTCTGGATATTGCTCCCAGGAACCAAAAGGATGTGTTCTGTTTTCCACACACTTAACATACCATGGTGGAACCATAACCATGATAAACATTGTCCTCCAGAAAGAGGGAGAAAAATGGAGATATTGTCAGGGTCTCTTACCCTGGGCATGGGGAATGTGCCTAGTTTGACCTTTTTTCTCTTCTGTAAGAATTCCCTTCTCCACTGTTCTCTGTGACCCAGACTCCACCCTCTGGAAAGATCTTTTTTTTATTATTATTATCTTCCTTGTCTACATCTGAGTGGCTGTTGAGAAATATGCTATCCTTGGGAGTTGCACAGCTTCCCCCCCCACACCCCATCCCCCGAGAAAGATTAGCTCTGAGCTAACATCTGCCACCAATCCTCCGCCTCTTGCTGAGGAAGATTGGCCCTGAGTGAACATCCGTGCCCATCTTCCTCTGTTTTACACGTGGGAGGCCTGCCACAGAATGGCCTGATAAGCGATGCATAGGTCTGCGCCTGGGATCCGAACGGCGAACCCCAGGCAGCTGAAGCGAGTGCGCAAACTTAACTGCTACACCACTAGGTGGGCCCTGCACAGCTTTTTTTTCCAGTCTGTTTCCTAGATAATTAGGCACTGAAGTTGATTCTTTTTAAAGTATGGAATAATTACAAGTTCCTTTAGGCAAGATTTATGGTTTCTTTTTCAGTACAACTCTTAAAAACTTAGTAGGCTTCTTATCTGTTTCAAGTCAAATTTACATGCTAGTAACCATACCACTTTTTTGAGATAGGTAGTTCTTGGGTTCGCTATATTTCTTTGATTTCCTACTTTCACACCTCTCTCCTGACTTTATGGCAGGTACTTTCTGTCTATAAGCTTTGATGATAGAGCAATCTTCTTAACCACATTTTTATTCTCAGGCATTTTTTTCCCAAGCGAGGAAATTAAAGGTTCCACATCCTTAATTTATCTATTGAAAAGTTTTCCAAAGTAAGTATGAAGTCTACTCCCTTAGTTATGATCTTTGCTGCAAGTCTGAGTTTTAATGATTCTTTGTCACTTAAAGGCTTTCTCAAGTTTATCTCCTATTGCTTGGATTTGAAAAACAGAACTATGTGAGTCTCAGACTTTCTGGTCACCTCTGTTCCCTCATTTCAGCTTTTACAAATCAACCGTTCCTTTCTGAGCTCCATTCTTTCTTGTAATATCTTGCCAAATGCATCCATTAGGCACACAACACGCAGTGTCTTATTTTTCAACCTCTTCCCATAGTTCGAAATTCAAGGTACATTTTCTGCCTCCAGGTTTTCGTGGGTGATACATCAAATGTTTTGCCACTGCATAATGTGAAGTGCCATGTTTCTAGCCTCCAGTGTTAGTTTTCCATGTGTGTGAACCAACCTCTAAGCTAATACCACACATTTTAGGTTCTTTGAGCAGCACCCAAATCCCATTACCACTATCTGTATTTGTCAGGATAGGTTAGGCTTATGCTGTATTAACAAATGACTCTTGAATCTCAGCAGCTTACCTTGTGATCATTGCAATGTCTTTTGCTGATTTGGGGCTCTTTCTGGCCACTCTTTCCCATGAAACAACTCAGTGATCCAGGCTGACAGAGAATTTACCAGTCTGTAGCTGCATTATTGAAACATATGGCCTTCTTGGTCGATGGGACAGTGCATCAGGTCTTGTAAGTTTAGGTCCAGAAATGACAGTCATCACTTAACCCACAGCCCATTGGCTAGAACTAATTCACAAAGTCTTCCCTAACTTTAAGGGGGCTTACAAATACCATCTTCTGTGTGCTCTAAGTTGGTAGAGAATCAGATATTGGTGAACAGGAATCATGTCTGCTACATCACACACATGAATTAAGTACAGAAACAGTAGTTTGAATCATGAAAGACTTTAGGTAAGAATATGCTGGTAGTGAACACACTAGGTTTACCTTACTTTCTCCAGTCTGGCCTAAATGGCCATTACCTGCATAGACTAGTTTGGTCCACTGTTCAATAACTGAAGTAATTGTTATTTTATATCCTTCTTATACTTCATTATATACTCTTGCTACCCGCTAGGAGATGCTTAAGTAACAATATTACTTAAGAATTAAAAGAGTTGTAATTTATAATAACTTGTAGCATATTAGCTTTAAATAATTTTTTAGCCTCCATTGTATTTTGACTGTGGTAAAATATATAACATAAAATTTACCATTATAATCATTTTTAGGTGTACAAATTCCGTGGCATTAAGTACATTCACAATGTTGTACAAAGATCACCATTCATTTCTAGAACTCTTTCCTCATCCCAAACAGAAACTCTGTACCCATTAAATATTTCCCCATCCCCCTTTTTCCTCCAACCCCCAGCAACTGCATTCTATTTTCTGTCTTTATAAATTTGCCTATCCTAGGTACCTCATATCAGTGAAATTATACAGTATCGGTCCTTTTGTGTCTGTCTTTTTTTACTTAGCATAATCTTCTCAAGGTTCATGTTGTAGCATGTATCGGAATTTCATTTTTAAGGCTGAGTAATATTCTACTGTATGTATATACCACAGTTTTAAATAATTTTTATTCTTAAATTTTAAGGCGATATGATATGGAACTTAATAACACTGTAAAGTTTCACATCTTGAGAAGCATACTTCCTAATTCAGTATCTTTTCCACATTTCATTTAACTTTTTTCCATTTTACCTTGAGGATAATGTTTCCATAATAATACAAAGTACTAACTTGAACAGATCCTCTCCATGAATTTTCTGCTTCAAACACTCTGCAAACAGGGGAATTTAATAAAAAATTTAACTTACAGAGTCCCCTGATTGTTAGTTATAAGCAGCAGACTGCCAAGACTGGCAAGATGCTGGCTGCTACAGCACTTTCGGATCAAGGAGCAGGATGACCAGACTGTAGCAGATCATGTGCAGGACAGCTGCTCAAAAAGACACTCAGCCACAATGACACGTTCTATGAAAGTTTGTTGTTGAAATAGTATACATGCCTGTTGTCTCCTTCATGTCATAATGTTCAGGGAAATCCTAGACGACAGTGGTGATGGAAAGGGAAATGGGACTGTATAACTCGTTTCCTGGCCTGGCAAACAGTGATTGCTGAGATTGTCTCGTTAAACTGGCACAAGGAACAAAACGTGAGGCATTTAATAATTCTCTCCATTTGGCAACAGGGTTCCAAAATGACTGGCCTCTACTGGGGTCATTATTGTTCAAAATATTAACTCAATTGTTTGATGAACGCAAAAATTTCTGTGTGCTACGCAGTTTGCTGGCCAGTCGGAGAGCAGAGACCAGGAAAAAAAACCCTACCAAAAAATTGCTTCAACTTTATGGGGGGGAAAAAAGCAAACGATTACAAGATGATTATAGGAAGTAGGAACGTATGCAAGTTTCACTGAGGTAATCAGGTTTAACAGAGAAAACAGAATGTTTCTCTGATCAGACTGTTGTTCAGAGAAATAAACTTGAAAATCAGGCCCTATGCAAAAAACTTGGAAAACGAAGAAAATCACGAAGCAAAATCCGAGATAACCACTGATAACATGTGGTATATATGTCCTTCTAATTTTTGTTCCATAAAGTGATCTAAAAAATCATATTACACTGTTGTGCAGTCTTTTTTGGTGCTGAATAGAAATGAGGGAAAGGGTCAAAGGAACGGAACTTTCCTCTGCCTCCAGTAGGTGCTTCATGCAATCACGTCATGGTGTTGCCGGGTGCAGTTGGTGAACATTTCTCCCAAGAGGAAGTTTTATTTCGAGGGCCACTTGGATTTGACGCCCCGCCGAACTTCAGCTATTGAGGACTTTCCTCTAATGCTGATGCAGAAGTATGTGTTTTAAGTGTTTTTTCAAGGAAGATTTAATTTCATGCAAACGGCATCTATCTTCTCACATCTATTTGTATTTATCTTCTTTATCCATCTAGCTATACTCTTACTGTTGTATTTCTACTATAACTTGCTACTTGCTTTGCACAATCCCCAAGTAAACAATTTAGATACTTGGTGTATTCTTTCTTCAGTCACGCAAAAGTTTCATGTTACTCTCTAGAAGGGCACTTTCCAAGATTTAGTTGAGAAATAAATACTGTATCTTTGGAGCATTGTTGTTTTCCTTGTAACTTGTAGCTCTTAGCCTGGAAATCGATACTTTTAATACTTGAACCCGGTTCATATTAAAACACCGTGGAATCCAAGTATTCTACTCGAAGAATTGCATTGCCTAGATCCTTTCGGGAGGCCATCTTGTAGTTGAGAAAAGGAGCAGCCGGACGGGAACTGAACTTACCCGCCACTTTTCCCTAAAGGTCACGGGAAAGAACGAAATACCGGGACTGGCGGGGTGAGGTACAGCTGAGCAAGTGTTCCCTGAAGGGGGCGCGATGCTTTGAGGTTAACAAAGAGCGACAGCTGCCGGGTCAGCTAAGGTCTCCGCTATCACTGCCATCTAGACTTGCCGCCTGCCTGACGTCCGGTCTCCCGAAGCGGAGCCCAGCGCGGCGCTCAGGGAGACGCAGCCTGCAACCTTCCAGACCTTCCCACCAGAGACTCTGGTTTGCCTGAACTGCCGCTGCGGGCGCACCGAGCGCCCGCCAGAGTTGGTTCCGTTTGACCCATGGGCCCCTCCATAGTCTGAAAGTAGCGCCGCGAACTCAGCCCGCTTTTTCCGAAAGCATTCTTAGGGAAGAACATACCTCCCCTTGCAGGAGGATCACGCCTGGAGGGCGCTGGGTACAGAACACTTAAGCTCTTGGCTTTCTGCCCGCTGTAAAGATGAAACTGGGTCGGGCATAGCGCTGGCAGCAGCAAGACATAAAGTACAGGAATGTTCAGACACTCGCTTGGTGGTCATTACAAAGTGGAGGTGGGTTTGCCCATAACAAACATGGCGTGGAAAGACGTTAACCGGGTACAGTCACGTGCTCGAACACCAGGATGGGGGACAGTATGGCTTCAGATGACAAGCGGATGTTATTATTATTCACTTCCGGGTGAGACCACTCAGGCGCCATCTTGTCTCGTTCGTGAAGAAGTGGAAGCATCGGAAGGGTTGGAGAGGTATTACAGGAACGGTGGCGACAACGGTGTTCCGGAACCAGAGTGGGTAAGTGGTAGAGAACAATTACGCGCGGGGACTTGCCGGGCCACTACAGCCTTCTTGGTTTCCGTGGCGAAGGTAACATAACTGAAACACGTAGGCTGCGTACGCCGCTTGGCGCGACTGCTGAAACCTCGTTTCCTTAAAGCGGCGGCGTCCGCCGGACTTGGTGAATCTGAGCGGTGCTCTCGGTGAAAAGAAAATGTTCTTATTAAAGAGAGTGCTCGTGACCCCTTGCTCCAACTATGAGAGTTTCCTCTCGAATGAGAAGGGACTAATTGTTGGGCTCCTGACCGGCCGTTAAGCACTGCGCGTGCGCAGTGGGAACCCCCGTATGGGGTGGGGGTGCAGGGGGCCCGAGGAGGTGGGGGCCGGGACCTGGGCCTTATGCGCCGTACGCCTCCTACTACGCAGGCGCAGCTAAGGGCCAATGCATCCTGTTAACCACAGTTAGGTTCCCAGTTTGTATTTTTGTTGTGTTTTTATTCAGTGATGAACATTATGTGTTAAGTTTCACGAAGGAACGAGGTAGCATCCAGTATTTAGGTTGTATTATCCTGTGGTGGATATTGTCATGTGAATATTTTGGGCGCTTGACAAATTTTGATTCTCGGTGGTTAATTCAGGGAAGAGTAAAATAAACTTGGAGTTTCTGATTGGAGTGCAGCAAGGCAAAAGCAACGAAAACAAACCAGGACACTAAAGACTCACCTGTGGGACTGCTCTGTAAGGTGTCGTGGTGCTATAGGGAAAGTAACAGTAAGTCAGTTTCCTTAAGATGTTCTTGAGACTGTATTTAAAAACTTTTTATTAATAGACTATTTTTTTAGAAGAGTTTGATTTACAGCAAAATTGAGCAGATAGTACAGAGTTGTCGGATAAACCTCACACACACACCTTACACACACGCAGTTTCTCCTGTTATTAACATAAAGTTAGTATGGTATATTTGTTACAATTTATGGACCAATATTGACATATTATTATTAAATAAAGTCCATAGTTTACTCACATTTCCTAAGTTTTAACCTAATGTCCTTTTCCCCTTCCAGGATCCCATTTAGGGTACCATATGACATTTAGTTGTCATGTGTCCTTAGTCTTCTCGTAGTTGGTGACAAATTCTCAGGCTTTCCTTGATTTTGATGACTGTGACAGGCTGAATTATGTCCCTCCAAAATTCCCATGTTGAAGCCCTAACTTCAGTACTTCAGAATGTGACTGTATTTGGACATTGGGTCGTTAGGGTAGGTCCTAATCCATTATGACTGGTGTCTTTATACGAGGAGAAATCAGGACACAGAGGGGACACCATGGAAAGGCAAGGAGGAGACAGCTGTCTACAAGCCAGGGAGAGAGGCCTCAGAATGAAACCAACGCTCCTGACATTTTGATCTTGGATTTCTAGCCTTTAGAACTATGAGGAAATAAATTTCTGTTGTTTAAGCTACCCAGTCTGTGGGACTTTGTCGTGGCAGCCCTAGCAAACTGCTACAGTGACCTTGATAGTTCTGAGCACTGGTCAGGTATATTGTAGGGTGTCCTGCTATTGGAAGTTCTCTACTATTTTTCTCATTATAAAACTGGTATTAAGGGTTTTAGGGAGGAAGATCACAGAGGTAAAGTGCCTTTTTCATCACATCCTATCAGGGGTACATGCTGTGAACGTGACTTATCACGTTGATACTGACGTCGATCACCTGCTTGAGCTATTTTCAGGTTTCTCTACTGTAAAGTTACTCTGCCCTACCCACCCCCTCCTTTCCATACTGCGCTCATTGGAAGGAAGTCCCTTTGCACAGTCCACACTTCAGGAGTGGAGAGTTCTGCTCTCCCTCCTTTAGGGTGGAGTATCTGCATAATTTATTTGGAAGTCTTCTGCATGGGAGATTTGTCTCTTCCCTCCCTTTTATTTAATCATTTATATTAGTATGAACTCATAGATGTTTATGGCATAATTTATGTGATAATCCAATATAGTCATCCCTTGGTATCCGAGGGGGATTGGTTCCAGGACCCCCACAGATAATATAATCTGCAGATGCTCAAGTCCATTAGTCCAACCGTCCATATCTCCCAGATTTATCCAACAGCAGATGGTAAATATTAGTATGTCCGTGATCCGCAGTTGCTTCAGTTTGCAGATGTGGAACCCGAGGGGAGGGAGGGCTGGCTGTACTACTTTGTTTTGTTGCTCAAGTTGTTCCAGCTTTGGATGTTAGGACCCCTTTCCAGTTGTCTGCTGTGCCCCTTTGACTTGCCCCCATCCTTTTTTGAGCACTTTTTTACTTCCTGGTACTGCAAGATGCTCCAGGCTCATATTGTATATTTCTTACCTCAGTTCTAAGAATCAGCTATTTCTCTAAAGATTCCTTTTTTGGGTGAATGGTGTTAGAACCAAAGTATGTGTGCTTGGGGTGTCATTTCCTTTAGACTCTCTCTCTACATTTATTTTTCAGTTATCACCTTTTTTTGATGTCTATAACCAACGTATCCAATTCTCCAGTATTTTTTTAATACCTAGCTTGAGCTACAAGCTGCAGAGTATTTCATTATACACTAAAATGCATGTCACATCAAGTAGTAAAGTTTTTTACCATATTTCAAATGAGTATAAGACTCACTTTTACTAGTGCCATTTAGGTGCCATTTCCACCTAACCTGAAGTGAGCAAATGAATTGTTTTTGACGTTGAAGTCAGTCCCCTGGTGTATGGGACTGAAATGGCAGGGGAGAAGAGGATTATTGCATTTTGTGGTTTCTAAACTGTTTGATGTGAGAAACATTTCACTACGTGCATCAAAGAATGGGTGTATTTCTTTCTCTTTGATTTTGCAATTGATCCTTCAGGACTTTAAAACAAACACTGCATTCTCATCCTCATTCATCTCTTTGCCACACAGTCTATGAGATGACTTTTACAAATGTTAATGATTGTCATTTAAGCAAGTAATTTTAAGACCCTCAAAGCAAGGAATGTTCTAATATAGAGTTGTCTAAGAAATGGATAAGATAAACGATGGTCTATGGTCATTACTGGTTGTGTTAGTTTCTTAGGGATACTGTAACAAATTACCACAGAGTGGCCTAAAACAACAGAAATTTATTCTTTCACAGTTCTCCAGGCTAGAAGTCTGAAATAAAGTTTTCAGCAGGGCCATGCTCTGCTGCGCTCCCGCTCTCGGGTTCTCTCTCTCTGCTCCAGGGGAGGAGGCTTCCTTGCTGTTTCCCAGCTCCTGGTGGTTCCCAGCAATCTTTGGCTTTCCTTGGCTGTAGACACATCACTCCAGTTTCTGCTTCTGTGGTCACGTGGCCTTGTCTCTGTGTGTGTGTGTGTGTGTGTGTGTCTTCTTATAAGGACACCAGTTGTATTGGATTAGGACCCACCATAATCGAGTATGACCACAGTTTAACTTGAATACATGTTTAACTTGAGTACATCTGCAGAGATCGTATTTCCAAAGCCTTGGTGGTGATATTGACCACTATTTATTGAAGCTTCCTGTGCTGAGTTTTCATATGTTTCTCATTTAATTTTCACAATAACTCTATGACGTAGACACTTATTATATCCTCCATTTTACAGATGAGAAAACAAAGGATTAGAAAATAGTTATTTTGCCCACATTGACACAGCTAGTGAGTGGTATAGGTAGGCATCATGAACCAAAGCTTGTGCTCTGAAGTCTAGGTGACAAGTGAGGGTCAGAAAACTTAAAAGGAGAACTGAAAAAGTTGTCCTTGACAGCCAGTAAATGTGAGTAAGTAAAAGAAACTTTGTTTAGAGTTATTTCTAGAAAAGGAAGTCCATGTATTGGAAATGATGGTAGGGAGTCAGTACACATGATTTTGATCATTAAAGTGGTTTTACTAAGTGCACATCTACTTGCAGCTCCAGTAGGCACTGCATAGAGCTAATTATAATGCCTACATTGTATCAGTTTACAACCTACAACAGAAAAATCTATACATTGTACTCTGATATGCCATTAGAGCTTTAGAAAGCAGCAAGCTGTGCTTATGCCAGCTTTTTGGTTCTCATAAATATAGGTCAACAGCTTCCTTATCATTAACCTTTAAAAGTAAACAGAAAGAAGGAGCTACAGACCATTCATTTATTCATTTGGTGTTTAGTGAGTGCTGTGTGCAAGAAGCTGTCCTGTACTTTGTGCAAGGTAGAAAGACAAACATATTCATGTTTTTATCAACAGCTCTTGATCTAATAGGAAGAAAATGAAACGTTTGAGGGGCAAACTGTTCTCACCTTGCTCATGTTAATTTTTAAACTTAGAATTCCGTAGAAAAATCTGAATTAATGCATTTTATTACTTTATTTGTACCGTTTAAGTTAATACCAGGTGGATGAGATCTTCTTTTCAAATGTTTGTTGTTCCTTTTTTTCTCAGCATATATGACAATCCCTAAATTGTTTGACATTGTTTTGTATTAATGAACTGTTCAAGTAAATAAAAAAGATATTTTGAAAGAAAAAAATGTTGAAAAGCTTTGCTTTCTCATTTCCGTTGTACCTGTTTCCCTTAACTTTATAATGGTAAATACTTTCTCATTTTAAAGTTAGTGGAAGAAAAAGTTCCAGATTAATTTTGAGATGACCACACTTTCATGTTGCATCTCTAGAATTTATTTTTAGTATTTCTAATAACTTCATAAACTAAGAGCAAACACATACTCTTTTTTTTTCAGGGCGTAAGTAATCTTGC